GTAAAATAGTTGTAAATAGTTGTATTGATGGTTTGTTAATTTTGCAAATTAGGTTACATTGTGAATAATATTTCTTCCCGTTACCTATTTATACATCTATTCCTCTTAAGCTTTTACTTACATACTTTTCACAATGAGGACAAGGTTAAGTTTAGGTTGGGGTGGGAATAAGTTCACATGTTTTTGTATTTTTTGAATCTCTTGAAAAAAAATTTCAAAAAATCGTCTTTGTGATTGACAGACATTAAAAAACCGAATAGTGAGTCTTTTAATTTTCAAAAATGGATGAAAAAATCTATTGGTTTAGCCTTGGTTTTCCAAATGGATGTACATTCTTTAATTATGACCAAAGCATGGGTTGTGAAAAAGTTAGATATTTTCTAAAGTCCAGTAAAACCTTGGTCTGGAAAGAATTGATATGCCAAATGCCTCTGAGTAAAACGATTTGATGGTTGTGTAAAGTATAGTCAATTAATGCATATGAGAGAATTTAATCAGTGTTCTGAATTAATTTCAGGTTGTGCATTAGATCGTCTCGACTGAATTAAGTATGGACAAAACAAGGATTATCCTAAGACACCATCTTATTCTTGTCTAATGCTTACAAGATATGTGCAGCATGAGATTGCTCAATTCATTGATTCTCTTAGTTTAGAGGAATCTGATGAAAATTGATCTTTTTTTATAATTAATAACGTTAATTTTTAGGGTTTTGTGTTTCTTTTTATAATTTTGTGTGTTAAATTTAAATTTTAATTCGATGTGTTGTTAGGATCGTTTAACTACATAAAATTGCATGTTATTTTAATTCTAATTAAGAAACAAATAAAAACTAATTGATGGTTTTTTAATTTCAGTTTAGTTATGTATTTTGGATTTTAAGTAGAACTACTTTTGATATATTGCAGCTGATTAATTTGAGTTATATTTTGACTGCAAAAATTTTGTGTGTAAGGATAGAATATTATATGTAGATCACTGTGAAATTATTTTAGCATTCTATCTACTAGGAGGTATAACCTTGCCATCCTATTGAAGAATTTCATGTTTTACTTGTGCATCATCCCTACATTTTTATTTGAAACTTACTATTTTATGCACATATGATATGATATTTTCAAAAATCTTTGGTACAACATTACTCGGGACTAGTAATGTTTAGTTGGGGTGTGATTAACCCTAAAAAGTGACCTTTATTGTATATGTTTAGAGGGTTAATTACATCAATTTAATAATTAAAGAGTTTAAATTAAATGATAGTATCACTAATGGGTGAAAAATTGTTATTTTGAAAATACAGGGTCTAAAAGAAGAAAATTGGAAAGCTAAGAGGCTAAAGTGCCAAAAAGAGGATTGAGGCAATGCTACCAGCGTCCGGACGTTGAATACCATTTGAATGGTGGGATCCAACATCATCAGAACAGACCAAGAAGCAAGTTGTCGAAGTTTTAGAGAAAAGCAATCGTCCAGACGATGGAAGTTGGCGTTCGGATGGTACTTAAACTGACTTAAGAAGGTTGCCTTGCCATTGGTCAGTTTGTACAACATTCACAGGTATTTTTGCAGGTTGATAGGTGATCAACAGGTTGATAAATGACTCCCGGTTTTGGGGCGTCACACTTTCTTGGTGGTGTTTCAGAATCAGATAAATGTGGTGATGTGCATCTAAATGATTCTCCACTTGAACTTGGGTTGTGACTTGTGCTTGGAGTAGATTGAGAGTTTTGACTTGGGCGTGAGTCTCGACTCCTTTGTGGACTTGTAGATTCTTGGACTCTTGTAGGCTCAATAAATTGAAATTCTCCAGAATCTTTAACTAGATTGTCCTTCCATTGCCATGCTTCCATCTCATCAAATATGACATCCCGAGAAATCACCAGCTCATTTTTGTTTGGGTTGTATGGACGATATCCTTTAGACTCGCTGCTATACCCAGTGAATATATATTTCTCACCTTTCATTGAACTTCTCCCTTTTCTGTGAATGGATTAAGGCATATGCAATACATCCAAATACTTTGAGAAGATCCACCTTTGGCTTTTGCTAAAACCACGCTTGATAAGGTGTCTTGTTTAGAACCACCTTTTTAGGAGATTGATTGAGAATATAGACAGCTGTGTTGACTATTTTAGCCCATAAACTATTGGATAGTCCTTTGCCTTTAAGCATGTTTTGTGTCATTTCCACAATGGTGTGAGTTTTCTTTTTTGCCACACCGTTTTGCTAAGGTGATTGTCAGACTGTAAGTTGCCTTCTGATTCCTTTCTCCCTGCAATAATTCATGAATGGAGTATGGATAAATTCTCCTCCACGGTCTATCCTAGGTGCCTTTAATTTTCTGCCACTTTGTCTTTCTGCCACAACTTTGAAATCAAGAAATTTGGAGAAGGCATCTGAAATAGAAGAAAATATCTTTTGCTGCCAACTAATGGAATTCTGCTTGGCCCCTATATATCAACATGATGTCTTTGGAAATGGTAGTTGATGCATCTTCCCATTAATACATCTTTCGCATACTTTACTATTTCTATCAATATAAGGTTGACCATGTACCATACCTTTTTTCTTTTAGCAACCTTGGGCCTCTATAATTTAGATGCCCATATCTCAAGTGCCATAAATAGGAATCAATGATTTTTTTAGCTTGAAGTTCAAGATTTTCAACTAGTGGCATAACAAGAGAAAAAAATTTATTTGGGGTCATTCGAACATTTGCCACTGTTTTTTTATTCTTTCTATCAAAAATAATGCAACCACCATTATGAAAGTCAACTATATATCCTTTTTGAAGCAGTTGCTCAATGCTTAATAAATTCTGAGTCAATCCATGAACATAAAGAATATCAGTAACACATTTCCTATTACCTCCTTTTGTGAAGACTACAATCACTCCTTTACCTTTGACGTCTTGCAGCTTTCCATCACCAAGCTTTACTTGAGATGAAACTTTTCCATCCAACTCTATAAACATCTTTTGATTCCTAGTCATATGATCGTTGCATCCGCTATCCAAATACCACGTATTTTCTAACTCTTGTTGAATATTCATACAAGAGACAATGGTATCTCCTTCCTTTGCTTCTGAATAATTTGTCTTGTTATAGTTGAACCAGCAATCACATTGAGAGTTATTTGATACTTTGTAGTTCTTGCATCTAAATCTACAATCTTTGGCAGTATGGTTGAATCTTTTGCAAATAATACATTGAGAATCAAAATTACTGTCAAAATTCTTTTGATTAGCGTAGCCTCTTCCTCTACCTCAAGCTTGAAATAAATTTTGTCTTTCAAGAACTCTTCCATATTGGCCTCCTTTTTGAAATCTACCCATTCCTTGATTTTCTTACTCCGTTTTTAAACTGCTTGATTCTACAATATTGACTTTGGACTAAAATGCTTATTCCAAAAACTGATTTGTGAATCTGCTCAACCTTTTCTCGTATGCTTCTAGAGAACTCATTAACACATGTCGAGTCAATTTTGGCAAATCTTTAGCTCCTTTGATTGCTACAACAATATGCTAGAATCTTATAGATAGACTTTGTAGAACTTTTTCAACAATCTTCTTGTCTAGAAGGGTATCTCTGTAACTTCAAATTTGATTGACAATACCAGCAACTTGGGAAACGAATTCTTGTACTGATTCATTTTCTTTCATTACCAGATTATAAAAATCACGGCATAAACTTGGATAGAGATTACCTAATCAAATCCTTGATACTCAATCTTCAATATCTCTCAGGCTTCCTTTGATGTTTTTGCACCCAGAATTCTTGGAAAAATAGTTTTGCTAACCCCTCGTTGAATATTAAGAAGTACTGCTGCATTTTTCTTTTTGTTCTCCTTATATTTCTTCTGATCTACATCTTTCCGTGTTGCAAATTCTTTGTCATTTGCAGGTGTTGCAAATCCATCTTCGACTATATCCCACAAATCTTTTGAGATAAATAAGGTCTTCAATTGAATGCCCTAATACTCATAATTCTCACCCTCAAAAATTGGAATAAGGGCTTGCACATAATTAAACATGGAAGTGTTAGTTTCCATCATAGAGGTTTATTTGAAAAGGCTTTGAAGGGATTTGGAATCTTTTGCTCTGATACCACAATTGTTGGGGTGCAAAGTGTAACACAAGAAAGTAAGATAATATAAAGTGATTATTGTTCAAAAGGAAATGTGTGTTATTGAATTTTCAAAATCTCTCAATTCTTTCTCTGCCGGATCTCTCTCATACACACTGGTGCAATGCATAGCTAAAATATTATAAGCGTACTTATAGGCTACTTAGCCGACGCATGCCAAGCCGGTGGTGTGTGATCTATCCAATAGAAATTAAGTCCTTCATCCTCAAGAATGTTTAAGCCGACTCTGCATTTCTGGGAAGCTTCATAATTGTCCAGATGATAACCAATAACATTCCAGATTCATGGCTAAGTTTAGCTAGCTGTTTTCCGTTAGTCTTCTTCTAGCTAATCAGCTTCAGCTGTAAGTATCTAATGCTAATATTCATAGTTAAGAATTCTTCCAAGTTCTACCAGCTTCGAGCAAGCCCGGACCACACTGCCATTGGTCTTTCTCAACTATTTTAGAAACCTTTCTATTACGAATGAAATTACAATTACTTTTTAACATTGGGTTGGCACGACCAGCTTGTTGCTAACCCTTACATTATGGTGCTACAAAAAGCAAGCTATTCTGGGAGAGGAAGGTCGAATTGTGTGTGTTCGTACTTGCTGGATGAATTATTGCAAATGTTCAGATCACAACACACATTAATTAATGACTTCAGAACGTACACATTTCAATACATGAATATTATAAGTTGTTTGTTATTTAATGCTTCACACGTTAAAGTAAAGCTTTACATTAGTTTATTCTTATTTCGTACATGAACGAAAATTCAATTACAATTAGGAATAGATGGTGGGCACATAGGCAAACATTCAGCTTTGATAGGAAAAACTTCATTTAGACCAAGGATATGAGTCTAAATGTCGGAATTAATAAGATGCGGAATCTACAGAATCACAACTCTTAGTAGTGTTCACAAGCACGACCAATGGACTCCTAACATAATGGAGGCCGTCTGACCACACTATCTCACCAAAATCATACCTTTCTTGAGATCTTTTCTTTGGTTTAAAAGTCACATAGTATGAGACCTCTTCTTTGAAACATGAGAAGAATAACAGTCTAGGCCAAACCACAACATCCACTCCATCGGGATTCACAATTTTTGCAAGATAAATAGCTGTCGTCTTGTGAGAAACATTTCTAACAGTCCTTTTGATCGTCATTGTGGATCGAAGATTCGAAATTGTGATTGATGGGTAATTTATGTTTGAGCTGGAAATGAATCCTTTGGGACAAGTGGTTATGGTACCAGGAGAGAGAATCACCATTCGTTCAATTTGGTCTTGGGTGTAGCCACTGTTACAAAGGTATAGAATGTAGTCACTAGTTTTCATGTCGTAAACTAGTCCTGGATCCATGGCTTTCAAGGGGTCTACATGGCCAGCACCAATGTCGAAGGGATCTGAAATTTTCATGGATCCACCAGCTAGGATAGTGTCATGGGTTGTGTCCCTGGTGTAGGCTGAGAGAGAGAGCAATAGAATTAGAAGACTTGATTACTTAGGAATATAAATACAAGTATCAATTATGTAAATTGAGATTGCAAGGGCCTTAGCTCTTCAATCTTTTTACTTGTTTAGTAGATTCAGTCACCACTAATGCATTGGGTGAAATTTTGTTGACCATTTACTAAAGCCAGTGTAACTTCTTGTCCCAAAATTCATTTGAATGTATTGAAAATGAGTAGAACTAAAGGTTTTTAGCCACTAAAATCAAGTTTTTGCCACAATTTGATTTTGTGGTAAAGAGCATTACTGTTGTGGAGTGTACAATGACTTAGAACTTTTGTTTCTAGACTATGGTTCATGAACTAATAACAAATTGTACATTGATGGTGAATAGGAATTCATTGGATGCGCATTTTCTCCCCTTACCTGTGGTCATGAGAGCTGATCTGATGGCTGCCGGAGACCAATTTGGGTGCGCGGATTTGACAAGAGCGAGTACGCCGGATACATGAGGGCACGACATTGATGTTCCAGACAGAAAACTCCAATTCACGGAGCGGCCATCAAATGGCAACAAAGTTGGAGGTGTTTTAGGAGGCCATGCTGCTAGTATATTGATCCCCGGGGCACTTATATCAGGCTGTTAATTAAGAAAGGAGATTAATCAACACATTCGTATGTTAAATTTCCCCTTTGTTATCCAATCTTATCAGAGCAAAAATGGCATTTCACCCCCACTAAGGAAGGACAGGTCACACCTTAGATCACACAATTCGTCAATAAACCTTGACTAATTTAACGAATTTATACTGTCAATAAACCTTAACTAATTTAACGAATTTATGCTCGGAGACTGAATCTGCAAATATAGAACGGATTTGGCCCAAATTCAGAAATTCAACATATTAAATCCACAAATTTACTTTAATAATCCGCAATTTTAATAAATTTGGATATTTGGATATCCATTCCACAAATTCAAAAAAATTTAAACTAATTCTTACATTGAATCTTGTCCTAAGCCAAAAATATCAAATTCACTCACGTTATAGGCCTCAAAATAAGACCCACAAATTTAAAATTGAAAGATAAACAATCCCGGGAAAGCTGTAAGCCTACGTAATTTATAGGCTGTCTCCACTTTAGCTTTCCAGCACACAGGCGAGGTGGGACAATAGGCTATATTTATAGTTACGTTCAAATTGCTCTTGCTGGAAAGCCACCGACGTGGGATCCTGCGTTTCCATTTTTCATTGTACACAATTTATATATATACTAGTTATTGCATGTGTCTGAAAGTACAAAATAATAAAAAATAATAAGTAATAAATATATTTGTATTCATATCAAAAATCAAATCACAAATATAGAGGAGAGATAAATAAATTTAAGCATTAGTTATAGCGGGGGGTGAGAAGTGCTAGGCAGTAGTGGTGGTGGTAGGAGACGGTGAAGGTTGTGATTAGTGGCAATAACCCCTGGTGGTAGCGGCGACGATGATGGTGGTGGTGGTGGCGGCAACGATGGGGGTGATGGTGGTGGTGGTGGTGGAGCGATGGCGGCAACGGTAGTGGTGGTGGCGATAGCAACGACAACGACAGTAGTGGTGGCGACGATGGCGGTGGTAATGGTGATGGGATGGTGGTGGTGGTGGTGGTGGTGGTGGTGGTGGTGGTGGTGGTGGTGGTGGGGGGCAGTTTTAAACAATTTTTTTAAAAAAATTACTTATGAGAAATAATTCTTATAAGTACTTTTAAAAAGTTACTTCAAACATACTCTTAGCGCTCTATTTTTCTTATTAAATTTTAAGGTGTTAATTTTAGCCGTCAGAATAACTTTAAAATAAAATTTAAAACGATCTGAATTGCGAAAAACAAAAATCATTTTGTTTATCTTTTAAAATTTAAATTGTAAGTTACTTTATTATATATATATATATGATGTTCTTAGTGACTCTTCCGTTCTCAAATATTTTTGAAATTTTAAGCTTACGCACTCCTGCACATACTCTATGTGATTTAGGTCACGCCACTTAACATTGTGATTTTTTATTGTTGCCCTAATTTGCTGTGAATTTTTTTAAAAAAATTAACAAATAGAGCCAATGTGAATCTCAAATCAATGGTGTAAGGTGCAATGTGAGAAAACAAATAGTTTAGGGGCAGTATAAAACTCAAACCAATAGTTTAAATACAATGTAAGAAAGGGATAAGTTAGGGTACAATGTGAAATGATGGACATCTATATAATAAAGTAGCTTACAATTTAAATTTCAAAATATAAACAAAATGACTTTTACTATTCGCGGTTGAGATCGCTTTCAATTTTATTTTAAAATTAATCTAACGGTCAATATTAACACCCTAAATTTAATAGAAAATATAGAACTCTAAGAATGTGTTTAGAGTGACTTTTAAAAAGTAGTTTTAGAAATTATTTCTCATAAATATATTTTTTTTTAAATAGTGTTTGAAACCGTCTAACCATTACCTCTACCGCATCGTCATCGCCGCCACCACCACCACTACCATCGCCACCATCGTTGCCACCACCACCACGCCCACCCCCATCGTCGCCGCTACCCCCACTGTTACCCCTACCACCACCTTTACCGTCACCGCCGCCACTACCACCGTCATCGTCGCCACCCGTACCCCTACCATTACCACAATCATTGCCACCTACCACCACCACCCACTGTCGCTCACCACCTCTCACCCTCACTGTAAACTGATGTTTAAATTATTTTATCTCTTATTTATGTTTGTGATTTGATTTTGAATATGAATACAAATATATTTATTTTTTATTATTTTTTATTACTTTGTGCCTTTAGGCACAAACAATAACTAGTAATTTAAAATTTTATATATAATTTATCCTTATTTAATCGCGGATATAAGATTTGCTCATCGTTGAGAAAGAACAAAATCACAAAAAAATACTATAGATTTTTGGCCCTTCTACCATGATAGAATTTCCTTGCTTGCAAAAATTGACAGAACATCAAGAAAAAAAAAAAAGAGAGTAAAAGAACATACCTTCAGAATATCTGGTGAAATTGAACTTGGCCCCCTAGAAGAAAAATATGCCACTGTAGGTGCAGTTGACTGTTGAATGCTTGTTGTACTTGGTAATATCTGCACTACAGGGAGTCTTCATGTTGCATCGCATTCATGTTAGAAGCCTTGAGATATTATCATAATCGTGTACCATTTCTGCCTATTATTCATTTATTTAAATCAAAATAGATTAACAAGACGTAAGGTTAACATTTACTTGAGGTCATGGGGTCATGCTCGTTAGGTTATTCTGTAATTTGCAAGTTTCAATGTTTATTGACATAATGATGTGATTTAAAAATTTGATCTAATTTGCTATCACAATAATGTGGCTTTAGTGAAACTATTAGATCAACACCAAATTTCAAGTTCATAGTCAATCCAAAGATTATAGTGAATTAGATTGATAAATTAAGTTTCAATAACTTTGTTTTTCTTTAGATCATTACAAGCTTATGATGGAAAACGTGTTTTAATGTATTAATGATTAAATTATTTTTTTTTAATGAAATGCATTCATGATTAATTTATCTTTTCGTGCATAACAACATAATTAGATAAATAAAGTTGGATTACACCATCTACACTTCCAGTTTACAACGCTTTGCAGTTTAGTCCTTTCTCTTTGAACGTATCAATTTAACTCACTTAGAAATGTAACAATTGACTCATAATATTCATATCAATTCTCGATGGAAATGACTATCATGTGATGCCAATTGAATGATATAATAATTGTCATCAGGATAAAATGCATATGAAAAATGATCACAATTATTTGTTGTGTTTGAGTAATGTTACACTGACCGAATAATAAGACTAAAAAAATAGTTTTAATGATATAACAGTTGACATGGTAAGTGAAAATTGAATTTTAAATGAATAAAAGTGGGACTAACATCATTATTATTGCATCGTCTCATTATTAGATTACTACTTTTTAGTCCTACTATTTGGTCGGTGTCGCATATTCTTGTGTTTATAGAGTATGAATCATGAGTCTCTTAAGCCTCTAAAGTTCAAGCAGATCAAGTTTTGTTACTGTTAACTCACTTGAAAGATTGAGCAAGATAATGGCCAATTTTAGTCCCTTGAATGATGTCTACACGGACAACAGGAATAACATCAACATCAGCAATCTGCCTAGTCAACGGCTCAACAAAAATCAAGCCCGAGGCGTTGGCCTTCCACGCCGCTGCTTCGGCTTCACCGCTCATTACAGATCCAACGGTTGAGAAGCACAGGATTAGCCTCCCTATGGCTGATCTCTTCTTCCAATTCTCCGACTTGCAAACCCTAGAAGAATGCATCATGTGATCAGAACAAATGTGAAATCCTCATTTGCTTGCACGCATGCACATATTTTCATTAGAATATTGGCCATTAAATGAAGGATAAAAATATCATAAAAAGTTGAATAACGCTGGTTAGAATTAAAAATCTGACATAATTTGTTAGAGTAATGCTAGATGGATTTAAAAATTAGATTTAAAAATTACATTTGATAATTTCAACCATTGAATAAGTAGTGAGTCTCAATAAATGCTGAGAGATCCACAGTGAAATCAATAGTTCTAATTATTAAGTCTACTTTTTAAATCTATGTAGTATTGCTCAATTTGTTAATATAATGATGTGATTTTATTGAAATCATTGAATTAACGCTAAATTTCAATGTTTGATGAAGTTCACAATTAATCCAAAGATCATAGTAAATTAGGTCTCAATAGAATTACTCTAAAAAGTTATTACAAAATATGGAGAAATTATGATGAGCCGGGAGAAATTATTCAAAATGGAGAGCTTCAACACAATGTTCTCCATACTGACTTTAATACACACCGCCGTTAAGTCTGCCAATAACATGTATACATACATACATACATAAACACAGATGAGAGAGAGAGAGAGAGAGAGAGTCACCCGCCAACAAAATAAGTGCTAGCACCCACCAGTCTTGCGTTTATTTGTTTGGTAACTAAGCTTTCACCCTGCACAAATACGAGGTTTTGTATGAGCATGATAAATTTTAGATTTTGCTTGCCAAACTAGGTCAGGGGAAAACTTTAGGTACCACCCAAAAAAATGGGACATGTTATGACCTAATGAAGACAAATTTTATGACTTAATAAGGTCAAATATTTAGGATAACTTTGAATCAATTAAAATTAATCTCGAGTTTATTGGTCAATTCTAATACAATACTTGGCCAATTGCAATCTTATTTTGTTCTAATTCAGTAGTAAATTTAAATAACGTGGAAAGTGCCGTACTCTTATGTTTTCTTAATTTATTTTATCTAGCTCATATCCATCTTTGTCTAAATTACAACCCTACAAATTAAGATGTACTATGACTCTATCAGACAGAAGCTAATTTGGATCAAATTCATTCCAAGAATCCAATAAACTGTTAGAGAACAAAAATTATATAGCAAAACGATCATGATTCAATACGCTGTGCATTATCTGTCTTTGTACTTGGAAAAAAAAAACTATTGAATCATGGTTGTTTTGCTACATTATTCAAAGCAGCATGATCTTTCATCTTGGAAAAAACGCATCAAATTACCATGAAAGAGATCTTATTATCCAATAGTATCCGGGTCGGAAATGTTCGATCAATAGAGGAAGCAGCCACACAGAGGCTCCATGGCGAAACATTTCCCACCACTGCTGGATTTGGTCCATCATTACCTGCTGAGAACACCACACTTACACCAAACTGCATGGCGTGAAACGAACCAATATCAGCATTAGATGCGAAAAAGGGAGCAAACGGTGGTGTTCCGCCAAATGAGGCTGATATCACATCGACTCCATCGTGCAATGCATCGTCAAACGCCGCCAAGATATCAGCTTCGGTGCACCTTCCATCTAACTGTTTATTCCAACATATTTTGTACATCGCCAGCCGAGCCCTAGGTGCTCCACCCCGGGCAGTACCTTGCCCAAAACCTAAGAAACTTGCATTTCTTACAATGGATCCAACTGCTGTGGAAGCTGTGTGAGTCCCGTGGCCGAGGAAGTCTCGAGCTGATCGATATTCTGAGTTACCACTCGCGTTCAACGATCCATATTCTAACTCGAAACCCTTGAGATAGTATCGTGCCCCAATCAGCTTCCTGTTGCATGCTGTTTTAGGGTCAAATTGTTCTCCTCCGATACATTTTCCCTTCCAAGATTTTGGAACAGGTCCCATGCCAGGCTCTTCCCGGAAACTGTCAGATTCTGGCCAAATACCTAGCCATGGAGTATAAAATCAACCTAAGTTCATGACAACATGAAGTATTCCATATTGACCAGTGCTCAAAATCAACTCAATCTGTGCTCAATGTAAGTTAATTATGTAGAATTTAGATTTATTTACAGTGAGAACCAATTTACACAGGTTTTTTTCATGTTCCTAGTGTTATGGATTTGAGTCTTAGAAATCACATCTCTGTGTATGAAGGGTTGCCATTGCATACATCTGATGCTACTCATCAAACTGCACAACTGTGAAAATCTCATGTACTAAACTAATTTTGTTGTGTTAAAATAGCGACCCTCCCCTGATTTTGGTTTAGGAAAGGGTCAAGGCAGGGAGTGTGTGTGTGTGCGTGCGCAATCAGGGAAGTGAAGAAGTCAGCAAATTTAAAAGATATACAAATGAATAAAAGTCCACTGAAAACCTGTGTCGAAGATCCCAACAATTATGTCATCACCATAAGCTAGCTGCAATGGAGTCACTTCAGTATAGCCCAATGTAAGACCCATGAAATCCCAGCTTCTTGTCGTGTGCAACCGCAGTGTCTTGCTCTTGAACACTGATATCACTCCTTCCATTTCTGCCATTATTTAACTTGAATTATCTCCTCGTCACTGAAGTTTACTTCAGGCTAATTGAAAATTCTTTAAATGAAAGATTCAGATATGGAAAACAGAAGAAAAGGTTATCCAGTTACTTGCTAAGGTGGTTGCCTGGGTTGAATTAAGCTTTGCTGAAAAACCTGAGAAACCATGTTTGTAGCTATAAAGCATTGACTGCCTTGCAGCTACTTTGCTACAAGAAGTGACAAAGAAACAAAAGCATGAGCTACAAGATATTGATAATAGAGCTACAAGATATTGATAACATAGTTGTTGTAAGGATGAAAATTTTGTTGTTTTTTCACCCACACAACTAAAACATTCTGATTTCCATAATGTGGTTAAATATCAAAATTTATATTTTTTGATGTGTGTCAAGGTGTTTCGAGATATTTTTAGATGTTTCACTATATTTTAATCAATGTTTCGAACATAAATTTAAAAAAAATATATTCTTGCTTAAGGAGTGTCTCCGATTCCCAATTGACCGAAACTATAAACCGAAATGAAATTATGATGCTTAGGTGTAAGTTAGATTCCAAAAGATGAAATATAACAACATTGAGATATACCTTTTTAAGACATTGGCAAGGAGTTCAAGATGGTTTTGTGAAGTAACGACAGGATCGTGGATTTGGTTGTGCCCTAAATAGACTATATAAACCTGTGAGAAATAGGAATCCAAAACAAAATAAAATGAGATGAGATCATTACTAGAGAGGGGACAAAAAAGTTGAAGCACTTTTGAGTAGTAAAGTTACATGAGAAGTGGATATTGAGTGAACAAAATAAAGTGAAAGCAAGAGGGATAGCCCCCCAAAACACTGAACAGCACTGGCCATTTTCCCCAATGAAGAAACCACATGGTGGGTTGGGATTAAATAGTGAAGGTTGATTTATGACTCTTGAAGAAGTTGGCCATGGAGAGGATCGTGCGTAAACTCGAAGGATATAAAAGCTGCAAGAACACTGACATGCCTCCTTGGAACCATGATGATATATTTTCTTACAAGATAATTGATAAAGATAGAAATGTTCTTTCCCTCTCCCTCCTTTTTTTTGCATGTACTTATGTAGTATTATACCATCCTATGTTTTAAGTGAATAACAGCCAAAAACCACCACCGTCTAGATCCATCATAAAGAGTATGAATACCTCAAAGAGCACTGCATGTGGCCACCCCCTACCTCCTATTTGTAGCTACTTATGCAGTATGATACCCTCCCATGTTTTTAGTGAGTAACAGCCAAGAACCACCTCCTAATAGCTTTATCATAGATACCAAGAAATCCCACAGAGAACTGCATAAACCTCTTCATCATTCCTCAGGAAAAAGAGTCTTAAAAAGCTTTTGGTCTTATTTGTCTTATAAGCTTGTCTGATTAATTGACTAGGATATATAACCGCATTACCCTATTATTTGATTGGAATGACGTCTTTGGGAAATCTTAGAAAATGAAGAACAAGAATCATCATAATTCTTTTTGAAATTTGATTTATATATTATTTCCTAACTACATTCTGCACAATAAAATGAAATTTAATCTGCATTAGCTTTGTAAATTTCATTATATATATTAAGAAAGATACAATGTTGATCTTCTTTAGGTTACCAAACTTGATTTATGCCATTCTAATATCTCTGCGTTAAAAATTGTGGACATATGGAGAATCTGCTAAACTCATGATTGCATCAGTGAGAATTCCTCTTTGTTAATCAAATAAATACATCTAGCAAGCAGCCTATACCTAGTTTAGGTCATTCTGAGACTTTAGACTGCACCGGGATGCTTTTATATATTAAAATCATTGCATTGTTTCATTAACTATATTCTGCACAATAAAATGTAATTTAGACTGCATGAGCTTTGTGAATTTCATTACTAAGAAAGGGTACACTTTTACCATCTGAAAAAAAAGAATGATGCGATGTTTATCTTCTTGAGGTTACAAAACCTTTAAAACGTTCTGATCTTTTCGCTCATCTCTGCATGAACAAATTCTGGACAGATGAGAATCTGTTTAAAAACATGATGGCATCAGTGCGAACACCTATTCATTAATCAACATAAAAAGAGACTTTATCCGATTTGTCATCTGCAAAACAATCTATAACATGGCAAAGTACAATTAAACAAAACATGTGCTCAAGTATAGGCAACATTAGTGAGAATCATACAGCATTAGCCTGCAGTAACACATCTATTAATTAAGCATTGTATGCATGCCTAGGTGCTGCCCCCAAGCTACAAAAGCTTCTCCTTGTAAGTGGCATAATCATAAATTTCATAATATGCTGACATATCCATGTTTTCTAATTTATTTCCAATATCTGATTGCTTGTACCAAGATTATTAATTATACAGCCAATACTAGCTAACACCCAAGTAAAAGAGCCAACGGTCAAGGCATCAACCTATCTATTCTTAGGCACATGTGACTGTATATATTGTAGAAGTTGCTATTACACAAAATGATACTAATATATGTTCAAAAGGGTTATATGGAACAAACAAAATCATTGCTTGGCTAGATTGTTGTTCTCATGTTGCGTAAATTAAGCTCAAGTGTTGCGTAAATGCAGGATTATAATCAAGAACCTAAGACTTTCGAAACACGTTGATTTCATCTTGAAAGATGAGTTTCACATCATTAAACCTTCCAAGAACACTGAAAACATGCTTTTGACAATTAATATATATCTTATTATTGCCACAGAAATCTATCATTGCATTTTCATGCATCATGATTTGATAGAAGTAAAGCAACTAGTTTGCTTTGATAAGCAGGAAATTTAAGTGCAACATCAATCAAGGCATGTTTCTCTTAGATGACTGTGAAGTTATTTATTCAGATAATATCACTCTAATTGACCTTTGGATGAGTAATACAAATTCCACAAGACAAATACAATTACAACACTTCCGTGTGAACCAAAACACATCTAACTAAGGGTATCTGGTACAAATATGCATGCTGAAAATTATGCTGATGTTAAAATTAGACAAACAGGTTAAATATTCAATAGTATTAGATGAGCGTATAATTCTTTGTGTTTGATGTGAAATTTATAAAATAAAATGGTGCTGCTTCTATTTTGTTTTTGTAAAAGAGCTTGTGCTGCTTGACATGCTCTAAATTTGGGTACGCCCAAACCTTTTGTACATATTTTCTTTGTTTGCTATGAAATTTTACTTTATAAAAAAAAACAATATTGTGGTACTTCACTTAATAATAGTCCGTAAAAAAAACAATATTGTGGTACTTCACTTATCTAGATAGTCTCTGAACAGTTCACCACGCAATTTACTTGTTAACTGAGGTGGTCATTCTCAAGCATGGTTAGATCATCTGTTTTTTGAGAGGTCAAAAATTACACTGCAGTTGAGGTCAAAAATTATACTGCTGTCACACAGATGAACAACATTGTACAGATTTTCATGGATGACAGGGATACTTAACTGTATTCCAATTACCATATAGAAATCTATTTTCTGCGGCTCTTGAAAGCCTTATAGCATGGTGTATGTTAGGTGCCTTAGCATTATGAGACAGACCACTATATGTGTGGTGAACCCTGACCACTTATATCTTGTATAAGGCTCCCATGCAAGCCTTAATTATAGCATGATGTCCAATCACCAATGAGATACTGAAAGGTCTTGTACTGTATCACTGCAGAGATAAAGGATCTTAATTCCAGTTTCATGGCTTCCGAATGTCCAAGAATGAATTCAAAGCTATCCTTTGGCTCTGAGAAGTATTTCACATTGAATCAAAACCATTACTAAAACATGACTTGTATGAGAAGAAAAAGAAAAACTCTTAAGTATAAGAATTATTGGTTGGTTACACCTCCAGTTTCTGACTATTGAGCTGCGAATATGCCTGTTGTGTTCTTACAAAATAGTGGGACCAAGTTTGAAGTTTCCATTTATACATATGGTTAGTCCATGGTAACCATTGGAAGTAGATGAAGTTGGGTTCATGATTGACCTTCCAGAGATTCATATAGTCATTGTATTAGTGAAAAGTACTTTATTATTGTAATCCCTATTAAGAAAATAAATGTGGTCTTTCATATGTTTCTACTCATCTATTTAAGATCCATTTGTTATGATTACATCATTTAATGAGTGCCAATACTTGTACTAGTCTATGGTCATTGTTATCTATTACAAACAAAACACACAAATAGGGTGGACCGGTGGAGAGAGATAAAGACAGAGAGGTGATGCTCTTATTGTTTTTCTCCATACAATCAGAAGTAATCTCTCCAGGTTTTTCTAGTAGCAGAATGTCAAACTAGGGGGACCAGACATACAATTAGGACCACCATCCATATTCTTTCTATTTCTACAAAGATCCTCCAATTAGATCTTAACGTGGGACTTTGAGCTTAAGTCCTTCAGAAAAATGAGAATCTGAAGCTCAATCATAAAGTGGGACTTTGAGCTCAGCTTTCCACTACATATCTCAGCTATCTTCGAGAAGAGTCATAGTTCTACTGCGTATGTGTGTGTGTGAGAGAGAGAAAGAGAGGAGCTAAGCATGAATGTTTAACATCTTCACCCGTTAACAAATTCGTCGAAGGGCGAATGATGTATACTTTGTACCTTAAAAAATCTTTGCATTCCCAGTTTATATCCTAGAAGATTGAAATTCCATACTGCACCTTTAATCAAACGAAGAGGTAGCAAAGTGTTCCATTTTATGAAAATTAAGTACCAAATTTCTATTAAAAGTACTTAAAAACTAGTATTATGCAAATAATTGTGTATAGAAATAGAATGATATGAAAATATAACAAAAATGTTGGTCAAAAAAAGTAACAAACATTTAATTTTAGACTGGGTTGTTATCATTTTATCTGATTAAGGACGTAATGTGAAACTTTTAATCTTTTAGGGTGTAGATTGAGAGTTTAAGAATCTTTTAGGGTGTAAATTATCATTCACCCTGGATCAAAACATTATGCATAGCT